CAGCGGGTCACACCCTCCCCATGCTGTGGCCCTCCCTCTGGGCCATCTGGACTGAGTGGCTCTGGGTGGTGGCAGCCCCAGACAGGGAGCCACTCTGTCTCCCTTCTCCGCCCAAATGGTGCCCCAGGTCCCCAGCCTCTGCTAGCATCCGAAGCCTGTCCCAAGGCAATGGAGCAACGTCAGCAAGCAGACCACGTAGTCGGGTTGTTTGGAAGGAGATTTCACTGACACTAGCTGAGGACAGTGGATTTGGGATAGAAAGAAGGAAACAGAAAAGTGATCAAGTGAACCAAGCTAATGACAGACCGAGAGAAGGTCACTCTGAAATGGGCTGTCTCGGGGCCAGCACAGCTAGTGGCCAGAAGGGGCTGTTTGTAACCATCCCAGGAGGAGCTGGGCTGGCCCGGGCCGAGCTGGCACCAGGCTCCTACCGCTTGGTCCTGCAGGATGCAACTGGGCCACAGGCTGCCTTTCTGGCCTTGCTCCCAGCCCAATCCCTGCAAAGCTCCACAAATGTTTACAGCACAAGTAATTGGCGAATTATAATCAGCAGGACCCTGTAAACATCCCTTCCAAGCCCACAGTGGCAGGCTGCTTTCTGCTTAGCCAGCAACTTGCTCCAAATGAGCTTAAGGAACTTTCAGAGCAGTGTAGTTTGCTCATTAGTCCTGTCATGGGACTGGGTGGGAGGGTGCCCTCGTTTGCGAGATCAGGAAACCAAGACTCGGTTCAGGCAGCCTAGAGGAAGGTGAGAGACGTGCTCGGGTCATTCAGTGGGCCAGGCATGCTGAGCAGCACCTTGAGGCGGTGGGCTCACCCTCCCCGGTGGGAGAAGGCGCCGTCTGGGCTGTTGCCGGTCACCTTGACAATAGAAAGGTGTGTGGCTTTCATAGGAGTTAAGATCCCAGAATTGTAACTGCCACACATTCTGAACTCTGCTGTCTCTCTCTCTTTCCAGTCTTTATTTCACCGTTTGTAAATTGTGGGAGATAAATCTAGGCTTTTCTCCCTGGAGACGGGTATATGAACAGTGATCAGAAAACACAGTGAATGTTCCCATTTTAAAGATGTATTACAGTAAAAGACGCAGAGCCACTAACCCCTCAGACACTCCCCTTGCTTCAAACTCACTTACCACACTGTTCTTTGCCACTTTCTGAAGCAGCTCTGGAGGCCTCTGTCAGGAACATCTTTAGATGGCTGCCTTGATGTCTTGAATCAGTTCAAAACCTTTACGTCTTGTGGCTACTTTGACTTTGGGGAGGAGCCCAAAGTCCCACCATGCCTGCCTGGTGAACAAGGAGGCCGAAGGCACACTGCAGCTTTGCTAGAAGCCCGTCTGTCAGTTGGGTGCCCCTCGGCACCAGTGTTCACTGTGTTTGTCGCACCTCATAAAGACACTCAGGAAAGAGCACATCCAGAACTGCTCCAGAAAGCAGTAAGAGTGGTGAGATAAGTGTGTTTGAAGTGCGGGGAGGATTTGGAGGGGCATCCATGGCAATGTGTTCTTTTGCTCTCATAAATGTTTTAAGAATTTAAACATTCACAGTACATTCTGATGATCCCTTGTATGTGATCCATAGCAACTCTTATACACAGTACCGGGACTGACCTTTTACGTTTTTGTTTTTAAGTAAAGCTATCCATGCACATTGATACAGTCCTTGAAAAGGTATTCATTTAAGAGGACGAAGTCTATTCCTGTGATGCCACTACTACCCAGCACCTTCTGTTTGTAAGTCACCAGGAAAACTTGTTTTCTTGCTATAGACGTTCTAGGAGTTGTGGTGACAAGTGTGAGCAGAGGGACGTGTCACCATGGAGAAGCCAAAAGGCAGTCTCCACATGGCTCCCATGGTGCCATCCATTATTCTGGTAAACTCTTCAGCATATTGAGTCATCTCATTCACTTTGTTGGCCCCTAAACCTGACTTTTTACCCTTGGAGAAAGACTCATGTTAACCAAGTTCAAAGTGTTGATATATGTCTGTTAGTTACTTTTCTCTCGTTGCTGAGACAAAATACCTGACACCCAAAGTTAGAGGGGAAGGGGATTTACTTAGCTCACAGTTTGTAGTGGTTTCAGTCCATAATTGGCTGGCTCCAAGGCAGAGTGGCAGAGGAGCAACAGTTCCTGGTGACAGAAGCAGCAAAAAGCAATCGGGAGGCAGGAGGGGCGTCGCAGAGGAGAAGCAGTTCCTGCTGGCCCACAAGGTAGCAGAAGCAAGAGGCCTTCTCCGAGGCTTTCTGCCCCTCATAGTCCATCCAGACTACCAGGTACCAAACTGATCACTCCCTGGGTGGTTTAGTAATCCCATGCCCTTAATCCAGCACCACACAGTCCAGATTCACCCAGCTCTGATGGGACGAGGCTTTGGGGCCACATCCAGACCCGGAGTCACTGTTGAGCTCTGAGTGACCCTCGGGGTGCGACTGTGTCGGCCTCTCACCCCGGAAGTGCTGAAGGGAGCTGAGTCAGGGTGGTAGAGCCAGGTTGACCACATGGCCATTGAGGCCAACCAGAGCTGGCTTGTTTATTTTCTTTCTTTTTTTAAACTGGGGTGAAATATAGGTAACCCTAAAGTTACCCTAGTCCAGGTGTGCAGCTCCAGGGAGCTGCATGTATCCAGTGTTGCACAGTAACCGCTGCTGCTTCCACCCGCTCTTCACCATCCCACCAGACGCCTGCACTGCGGAGTGGTAACTTCCTCATCTCCTGCCCCAGCCCTGGCCGCCTCTCTTCTGCCTCTGTGAACTCACTGTCCCGGCTGCTTGTCTGGTTGTTGTGAACTTCACTCGCTGTGACATCTCTAGGGTTTGTCCCCTGTGGCGGTGTCTGCGGGCCTTGCTTTGAGCTGGGGCTGCACTGGAGACTGAAGACGGCCTGACCGTCTGTGTCCGAGTCTCAGCCTCTGGACGGCACAGGAGTGTGCAGCTCTGTGCAGGACGCCCAGGGGGTCACACAGGAGCGCTCAGCGCCTGTTCCGGGGCGCGTGACGGCTCAGTGAACTCCGTGGCAGGCAGGAGTTGGAGGTCAGTGAGGTGCAGCCACTGTAGCCCCAGGGCTCCACCTAAAGACCTGCTGGGCAAGGGGCCCAGACACCACCGCCTGCCGGCCAAGGTCACCCCTCCCAGCTCTTCTGCCCACCCACCCTGCCACTTCGCCCATCCGCTCACCTCCATCCACCACCTCATGCTTTCTAGAAGGACGAACACCCTGGGACCTGTGGCAGACGGACCACACCAGCCTTGGACAGAGTCCTTCCTCCTGCGTAAATGTCTGTATCACTGCTCAAGTCTACCGAGATACTGGCTTTGGAATTTAGCTCCCAGAGTGAGAGAAGTCTCACTGCTCATTTCCAGGCTAGGGTTAGACCTCTGTTGTACGCCCGGAGAACCCGAAACCTCTACGTAGAGTCAGACCCCATGGTGTGACTCCGTGTCACCCCAGCAGGATCACCTACTCCTTTGTCCCCACTCACCAGGCATGCCTTCAAGTGTGACTTCTGACGCTGGTGAAAAAGCAAATACATCTCGAGTGCAAGAGGATTCCCCCTGGTGAAGGCCCTAAGTGTGACACAAGCTCCAGCGATTACGCACAGTATTTTAAGAAACAGCAGACATCATAGAAACGCTGTGACTACCTTGAGAGTCATTTGGACAGATAAATCACAGTACGCTGTGATTTTATGAGGAGCCACGTTCCTCGTAGTCACAGCTGATACTGGGAATGCCGTGAGCGGGCAGCTGGACACCTAATGGGGGCAGAGGTGGCTTTGGCAGCAGAGCCTGCAGTCCGGAACAAGCAGCATTGGCTGAAGCTTCCTGTGCCCGTACCTTGCATTCTGCTTTGTAACCAACCCTTCGGTGACTTTCTCAGGCTTCCGACTCACTGTGGTCTACTCACTGGGATAGGATGAGGTCAAATCTTGGGTTCCTTGTTGGTTCAGAGCTTGCTTTTTCACCTTTCAAGATGTAACAGGAGTGGAAGTACAGGGCACTGCATGGTGCTATCAGGACCGGTTCTCTGTTGACATCTGTGCCCTGGGAGGAGGCAGCGCCACAGTGTCCACCCATGCTCACAGTTTAATTGGTTTCTGCTGGCGAACTGAAGGTCGTTAGCAGAGGGGGAGGAGGAGAAGCGAGGCAGTGGAGGGGAAGCATCTTGAAACCTGGCTCCATCTCTGGTTTCCTGTGGGTTGTGGTGAGAATTAAGGGTAAGCTCTTCTTCAGTCCCGGGGAGTGGAGCCAGGGCCTTGTGCACATTAGGCGAGTGCTCTGCCACTGAGCTGCATCCCCAGCTCACAAAGACCTGGTGTCTGTGAAGTGCTGAGAACAGCACCTGCCACACAGTGAACACAGCAGTCCTGCACCGGACCTCGGAACCTGGGATCAGCAGACTGCGCAGGATGCAGAAGCCCTATGGATTCCGAGGAAGCCACACCTGGGATTTAGGGTTTGGATCTTCGCCCTGGGCTAATGATATGATACTGAGCACTGGCAGCAATCTGAAGCCCCCAATCACCCCAGATTACTAGGGGGAACCACCGATAATCTGCCGTGTACTGTGTACATTCATTTTTCACTTAATGATATTCTCAGCTTACAGTGGGTTTATTGGAAAGTAAGTACAGCACATCTGTATGTGTTAAATATATTGATGTTTTTAAAAAGTAAGACACCTTCCTTTAATTCAGTATCAGACATAAGGAAGGAAAGTCATATAGTTTGACAGGCCTACCAAAGAGCCAGTACCACCGGTTGACAGAACAGAAACTACTAGGAAATAAGACAGTCTCCATTTTTTGTGACCCTTCTGTTACCTGTTTGTTCGGTGGTATCCTCTTTGTCTGTTGCTTTAGATTTTATAAAAATCATTTGCATTTATGGACAGTGTTTGAGGTGCAGGGCATTCCACTGAACGAAAGGTAGCAACCTGAGATTGTGCTTTAGGAAAGCGGTCACCGGTCACTAACCCTGTTCCCTGTGTTCTCCCCCAGCCCAAGCTTCTGGCCAAGGAGCTGCTTGACCTTGTGGCGTCTCACTTCAACCTGAAGGAAAAGGAATACTTCGGAATCGCGTTCACCGATGAGACGTAAGTGCTGCCAGAGCCTGGGGACACAGAGGACAAGGCAGAGCCTGCAGCTGCTCTGTCCCGGCAGTGAGCAAGGACTCAGCCGTGGGCCATGTGGTTCATCACCCCAGTTCCAGAAGCCCTGTGATCCTCAGGGTGTGATTAGGGTGATGCTAATATTATGGAATTATTGGGCAGACTCATTACAATCAAGCAGACTGAAGTGTTTGGTTTTTTTCAGAAGTATATCTGTCTGAGTTTGGTTTTCATTAAAGTTAAACAAAAACTTCTGGAAAATTAAACAGTTCTCCCCAGTATTGGAATAACAATAACAGGAAGTGAACTTGATGATAAATTCAAGATGAAACATATCTGGGGAGTTTCACTGTCTAAGCTGAAATAGGATACAGAAATCAAAACTTCAGATCACTCATCTGATGAGAAGTGTATTTACTGTCAATGGCTTTTCAGTTAGGCTCTATAAAGTGCTGTGCGATACAAGGAAGGGATCTCTGTTAAAATTTCAGCTTTGTTCTTAATGTACTGTTATCAAAAGAGAGCAGTGAATGCACCCAAATTCCCACGTAAGAATAAGCAGTCCTAAGCAGTTGCCCATACTGCCTTTGCCCTGTGTCTGTCTATTCGTGTACACACAGACCCTCCTTCCCGCCCTCAGGGTTGTGGAGATGGTTTTCAGGAACTGGTCTCAGTCAGTCTAATCGGTGGGTGGGCCTAGCCGCCCGGACCCAGGAGTCTGGTGCTGTCACCGAAGCAGGGCCAGCTCCCATGGAAGAGCACCGGAGAGCAGACATCAGCAGCAAAGCCACATCTTCCTCTAGAGAAGACCAAGGTCGGCCGGCCCCGGGGCCCTGTTCGGAGGACGCAGCCGCCTCCAGGGAGCCCCGCAAGGTCGGAGGAGAAGGTGGAACTGTGCTGGGAAGGGGCCGGCACGGTGACCACCAGCACAGCAGCCGGGCCTCTGAACAGTCACTTTCACCAGTGCAGAGTGTGCCACCCTTCGCTTCAGAGTCGGTGTCCGTCCCCCAAATTCATTACTCTTGATGCTGTTGCCGCTGACTAGAAGGAAACCGTACGTTTCCGTTACTCCCGTCCCGTTGCTCCCGCTTCCCAAGTAAGTTTACGCGACAGAATGACTGAACTCTCGATCAGCCCCATGGAGCTTCCCCTTTGGGTGAGCGAGAGTCGGAGGAAAGCCCCGCCTCCTGGCCGAGAGGAAGGAGTCTGTCCACTCACAGCCCTGGCCAGCAGGGATCTGGGGGAAGCAGAAGGTCGGTGCCCTCCCTGAGGGACGGGGGCGGGTGGTGGCCAAGCAAGCGTGCAGCGGAGCGGCTGTGCAGGCTGAGCACCCTGGACGGCCCGAGGGTGTGCGCGGCGGGCAGGTGAGCTGAGAAGAGCGTCGCTCTCCGGCTGGTAGTGGCGCTCACAGAGCTCCAGGGGCGACTCTGGCCTGGGCCCCAGACCTGCAGCCTCCGCCACAGCTTCCCCTTGTGCCTGGCCGGGCTTCTCAGCACAGTGGGAGTGGCGGTGGACAGGAGCTGGGCCAGCGCCCCAGAGGGGCGGCACGGGAGACCCCTGCCATTCGGACCGGTGCCTCATGGCCTGACAGTGCTGGGCCCCTGAGATCAGAACTCCTCTGCTTTCCCCAGCGGGAAATGGAGGAACAAAAGCTGCCCCCGAAACTCTGGGCGTGCTGGTCTGGGTTGGAGATCCCTGTGTCAGAGAGTGCTGGCCTTAGAGTGTCCCAGCCTTCCCTCTGTGTGCTGGGTGCCGCTAACGTGAGATGTCTGTTCCTTCACTGGCTTTGGGAGACAGTCTTGCTGTGTAGTCCAGGTTTCCTGCTCTGGGGACGTGGTGGTGAGGGGCCCGGCCCGGGCTGAGTAAGCAGGGTGAAATCGCCATTCGGGACCACTGCGTTAAGGGCGGGCGCAGTGTCGCTACCCCGTGGCAGTTGCTAAAACCGCAAGACTGGATCTGTGCTGAATACCGTCAAGCTGAGGTGTGCATTTGCTGAACAGATAGTTTAATATTTAGCATCCCCTGTTAACCCCCAGACCTCCGGAAAGGCTTGGTCTTCGACCTCTTCTGGGCTCGCGCTTGTGGTTCAGGAGGTAATTAATAAGGCCGCGTCGGGGGTGTTCTGGAGCGTTTGGAACATTGTGGGCCGAACTCGCTCCATAAAGAAACCATTGCAGTCAGAAGTTCCAATCGGAGCAAGTAGTTCGGGGTTTAGTGACCTGGCCTCCCTAGTCCATGCCCTGCTTTGGTCTTTCTGTGCTTTGAGGGTTCCTAGCTAAACCCGTGCTCCTAGGCTCTCCTGGAAAAGCAAGTGTACTTCCCAAAGGACACGGAAGAGCTACCATCCCCACCTGAGGGTCTCCCGCCCCACCCCTCACACCCGTCCCATCGGAAAGCACCTGACAGGCTGGCGCGGGGCTGCCCGCCCCAGGGCCTGAGGGAAACACACATCACCTCCACCCTGAGCAACCTAAACAAAGCTCCCCCCAGGCGGTCTCTGAGGAAATCAGTGCTCAATTTGTACTATGTGTAGCAGTTAAAAGCAATTTTTAAAATTAATGCTCCCAATTTCTATTGCCTGGAAGCAATTGCATATTTATTACTGACCCAATAGTTTGACATAGTGCAACCATAAACCAAATGAGGGTTATCGCCCTCAGCTTTAGAGATAGGAGGTATCGGTGAGGTAATAACACCACCAACAAGAACCCTCTGTCCACAGGGGTATCTTTTATTTATTTCTCTACATTTTTAGTTTTTGGCTTTGTTATTGGCAAATGTGAATTCTCAAATGGAAAATCAATAGAAATCATGAAAGCCAAGCTATCAGGCATCGCTTAAACTGTACCCAGGAAATGCTTGTCTATCTCCTTCCAAAAATGGGTTTGAGAGCTGGGTGTGGTGGGGCATGCCTGTAACGCCAGCGGTCTGGGAGGCTGAGGGAGAAAGGTCTCAAGTTTGATTCTAGCCTGGGTCATTTAGCACCTCAGCAAGACTCTCAGAAAGAAGATGGGGAAGAAAGGAAGGAAGGAGGACTGGAGATGTAGCTCAGGGTGAAGGCCATGGGTTCGATCTCCAGGACTTCAGACCAAAGAAAAGGAGCAGAAAACTGTATTTTAACAAGTCTCATAGCAGCCGAAACCAGGCCACACAGTTATAGTTTCCACGCTACTGTCTAACCCATCTTTTAGCTTTTGCCCAAACAATGGGTGCTCACCCTGAGGGGCCTTGGGTGAACCACTTGTCTCTTCAGCCTGTCCCTTTGTCAGCGGTCTGCAATGGAGAGGCTTCTACAGCATCTTGGAATGGGGGGTGTCCCTCCTCTGGAGGGCCCACAGACTGCATGTGAGGAAGTCACTTCTCCGTGGATACGGAGCCAGGCAAATGTGTCAGGCCATTCCTCACAGAATTAAGGTGGAGAGTTGAATCAGAAAAAAGTGGAGAAAGGAGACTCACTGTTCCTTACAGACTATTTAATGAGGGTGCTTCCCACCCCTTATTCTCTTACTTCCTGGCCGCTTTCTTTACATTACTTTCCCATCATTTAATTGCTTGATAAAGACAAGACCAATATACAGTCAGGAATGAAGGGATTTGCGTTAAATGAAGCCTCTACTAATGCAGGGAGTGAAGTCATCGGGAGCTGAAACCCACACATTCTCTGTCAGCACGGTAAAAGAAGGGTGGGCAGTGAGCCACCCACTAGTGTAGGGGGACAGCAGCTGTGTCTCTGTGCCTTCAGGCGACGGGTCCTGAAGCTGAGGTTCCTCAGCTTGTGAATGACACCCCAGGGGCCCTGGGCCTGTCCGAGCAGCCTGTGTGGTTGATGTTGTCCCTTAGGCTGGGGTGAGGATTTCTCAATCCGGGCCTTTGACTGCTCTTGAGAGCACGTGTAGAACATTGTTTTTCAGGTCTTCCTCCTTCTTTGACCTTGTAGGCCAGGGAAAGGTCACTGCTTTTGTACCATTGTGGTCCGTGGGTGACTCAAAGATTTCTCACGTGAGGATCATGAAAAGGCTGTTCCCACCGGACCCTTATTTAAGCAATCTTATGAGACCAAAGGTAGAGATTTAAATGTGCATGATCATGGGTGGATTGCTCTGGTAGGTAGTAATTCATTCAGTGAGAAAATATTTCTCTTTTAAAGCCCCTCATATTTGCCAGGCATTGTGCTATATTCTGAGGAAGTTTTTTAAAAATGCTAAAAAATTCAAACTTATTTGGAGCCACAGGTCGTATTTTTCACATCATTATATAAGATTGAGCTAAACGCTCTGTCAATGACACAATCCAAAAACTCCAGAGCAGTTTGAAAAGAACCTTTGATTTAACCAACGTATTATTTAGCTTTCTGCCTTTGTGACAAACTGTCTGGGGTCAACAGCTTTAAAGGAGGAAAGTTTTATTTCTGCTCATGATTTCAGAGCTTTCAGCCCATGGCCACTGGGCCCTGTTGGTTTGAACCAGTGTTGAGGTTGCACAGAGTGGCAGGAACACACAGTATAGGCACGATGCTCATCCCATGGCAACCAGGAAGCCAAGACAGGAAGGAGTGGCATTCCAGCATCCCCTTCAAGGACACGCCCCTAGTGACCTCACTTCCTCCCACTAGGCCCCGCCTCTTAAAGGTTCCACCACCTCCCAGTCACACCACCGGCTGAGGAGAAACCCTGAGTCTTTGGAGGACTTTTAATTCCCAGAGGTCCCCAGCAGTCAGTCTGAAAGGAAGACTTGAACTCAGCCTTGAACTGTGGCTGAGTATCAGCATGAAGAGAGTGGGGAGACAGTCCTGGAACTCCGAGCAGGCGAAGCACCATGAGTCAGGTGGTGTGGAGCAGGCGCGCTTGCAGGAGACTCAGCAGGGAGAGAAGCCCCTGAGAGCGGCGTTCTTGGGGGGCGGGCGGGGCGATGGTGTGTACACAGCTTCCAGTCGATCTGCTGCACTTCTTGCCCTAGTGAGATAGGTTTGGAGACATTTTCAGACGTGAGGAGACTACCGGGGACAATGAGTCTACACAGACAGTCCCAAGGCTGGGGTGCAGCCCCCGAGGGGTGCCCAGGGTGGAGCCTCAGCCCAGCCTGGCATGTGGCACGGAGGAGGCGGCCTGGAGACCCCAGGCAGCAGACACGAGAGGGCCGGCCTCTGCGGGGTGAAGGAGGAGGGAGGGCGCCGAGGCAGGGGAGCAGGGTCCCTGCGGGGCATCGCCTGCGGTCCAGCTCTGCCTCGCCGTGACGCTGGCGCCGGGCCTCTGGTTCCCGATTCTGGGCCCCAGTGGAACGGTAGCTTCACTCAGCTTGATGGTCTAGTCATTTTGCTTAGGGCAACATCTGTGTATTTTTTTACCCTTCCTGTATTCGGAGCAAGGTAATTTTAAAATAAAACCGTGAACAGGGAGTGTTGTTCCAACTGGAGACTCTCGGGAAGGGGAAGGAGGCCCAGGGTCCGCAGTGGCTGCTATTCTGAGGCAGATCCATCACCACCCCATGACGTGGGCTTAACTGAGACAGAGTTTACCCAGCGGTTGTTGTCTTTTGTTTGTTTTCTTGTGCAAAAGGTGTAATTTGCACAATGCTCACACAGGGGCGAAGCCTCTAGCGTGTGATGGAAGCAAGCAGTTCTGTGCAGTGGTGCAGACCGATGTTGTCTCCGCTGCCCACAGAGCGGGAGCCAGCCTTCCGTGCAGGACAGGGCGATGAGCAGGCTAATGAGCGGCGGGCAAGGGCAGCTCACAGTTCTGCCACAGTTCTGCCTCGCTCCAGCCGGACAGTGTGGCCCCCGGGATTCTCCACCTCTCCCTGCCACTCCCACACTCTCAGAGGTGGGGTTTCTTCCCACCTCAGGCCTTTGCACGTGCTGCCCCCTCTGCCAGGAAGATGGTTCCCCTTTCTCTTCCAAGCTCAGCTCAGATGCCAGGAAGTGCTCTGGACCCCACACTGGATCAGCTCCGCCCAAGCTCTTACAGCTCGGGGTCCCAGTGCTGGGAGCACTTACGAAGCTCACTGTGGGAAGAGCAGTTGAGTGCTTGTCGCTGTGGAGAACACGCTCTGGGGGTGCAGGAAGGGGCGCACGGTTTGAAGATGCTCCTGCAGAGGCTGGGCCAGTGTTCATGAGAAAGAGTGGGAGAAGAAGCGGAAGTAGCTAACTGCCCACCACCCCGGATTGCTGCGGTTTGTGCTCTAGAGCAGCTGTAACTGTAGACCGTCAGTGAGGCACACGTGCTAACTGGTGTGCTGACAGCTGCCTCATTCCAGACCCGGGTCCGCCTGTGCCCCAGGGAAGGCCTGGACACCCCATCACCAGCACTGCCCCTTCTGCCCCTCCCGCCCAGGTTGCTCTGTTCTGCCTTTGGCCGCTGTGTATTACTTTGTGCTCCCTTGAGTTTTGCATGGATGGAATCACATAGTCTATACACCTTTTAAAACCCGTGGTGACCCCGGTCCCCTGGTAAGCATGGGGTTATTTCGGAGTCGGGGCTCTTCTCATGTCTCTGAAGTGTCTGCTCACACACAATAGTACGTATGCAGTGACTGGGGAGTGTGGACATTTGCATAAGAGTCTTTGTTTGCACGTAGGCTTTCATTTCGGGGCGAACATGTTGCGGGGAGAATGGCTGGGTCACATGGTGGGTGAGTCTGATTTTGTAAGAAACTCCATGGTTGACTTTTCGCCCCATGTGCTTGCAGCAGGACGTTGTAAGCTCGGTTCATGTGCTTCTAACGTGAATTTTGAGTCCCCCTGGATAACAAGGTAGTCAGGATGGTGCAGAGGTCGCTTTAGGACAGGGAGAAAGTTCCTAGTACCTTCTCACTTCGGTGCAGTCCAGGAAAGTGGGGGCGGGTCTCAGCCCTTGACTTTGGATTTCCCGCAGATGCTCTGCTCCCGGGTAACCCTTTGGGTTCTTCAGTAACCGGAAGATGGCAGTGAAGAAGGCCCAGGCTGCCCGGGCCCAGCATGGACTTCATGAAACACTGCTGCAGACTCCGCACCCCTAACCGTTTGTCTCTGTCTTCCCCAGGGGACACTTAAACTGGCTGCAACTAGATCGAAGAGTGCTGGAGCACGACTTCCCTAAAAAGTCGGGGCCCGTGGTTTTGTACTTCTGCGTCAGGTACGTACACCTAGGATCCACCCTGGCTTCTGGCACTTTCCTTTGTCAGCAAAGCCTCTGGGGGAGGCACTTCCAGGGAAGGGGACCGTCGTGTCTGTCTGGGCTCCGTACTAGGGATAGAGGTTGTAGCAAACACAGGTGTGAGTGTGCAAGGCGTGTGTGTTTGCCCTCTTGCACTAGGATGCGTGTGTGGAAGGAAAATGGCACCTCGTTCGGGGTTTGTGTGGGGGACTCGGAGAGAGCCGAGGGTCTCGAACTAGGCATGCCCTGGGACTCCTGGGGGCTGGTTAGAGCTCAGAAAGAGACAAAAGAGGGCGCTTTTCTGGCTCCGTGGAGACAGAAGTCTCTATTTCCTTTCTTGCTATCACCAGTGCTGCTTGAGTCTCTTGAAATTTGTGCATTTTATCCCACATGGGTCAGTGCATTTCCTAGCAAGGGAGGAGAAAGCGTAAAAACAGTCAGAAGGTGGTCATTCTCTGCTCACGCATCTATCCTGGGAGATTTCATTTAATGATGGCAAAGGAAGCTACGGTGGTGACACGGTGCTTCCAAGAGGCCTTGGGGGCCCCAGCACTGATCATGTCTGTTGGCAAAAGGGTGTGGGAAGCCTGAGGGGCAAAGTGGCCCAGTCAGAGTTGGCCCCCAGGCCCAGCAGCTCCAGCGCCCACTGCACTTGGTCTGTGGCCCCTTCGGTCTCCCTGTCCAGAGCCCAGATCAGGGCAAAACTACAGAAGCATTAGGGATGTGTGCTCTTCATTTTGCTTCGTTTTTGCAGGGTCAGGGATGGAGCCCAGGCCTTGAATATGCAAGGCAGGTGGTCTACTGCTGAGCCACACTCGAGCCTTCAGAAGGCCCTGTCACCCCATTCCCGGCTCCTGCTCCTTCGAAAGTGCTCACAGAACCCCTCAGCCTGCCACCCACTGCTCCCTACCAAGCAGGGTCAGGCTGCGGTTTTAGACCCAGCTGTCCCAAGCCCGCAGACGGCATCAGAGGGGTCTTAACATCAGAGTAGGCCCCTTCCTCAGGCTGGAGTGTGCGTCTCCACCTCAGCTGCGGAGTCATTTACTCTTGCACTTAATGCCTTTTTGATTTAACAGCTGCAGACACATCGGAGCTAATTGCAGCCATTTCCATGACGGAGGGGAATGATTTTAATGCCATATTCTCTTCAACAGTGTCTACCGTGTCTCAGTTTAGTGGAAAAGTAACCATGTAAAGGAGACTCGGTCCTGCGGGGAGGCACAGGCGGTGCTGGGCAGGACCCCTGGAGTGGCCCCTAAGCGGTTCTCTGGCCCGAAGTGGAGGCGGGTGTGTGCCCTTGGCCGCGTGGCGCTGCCTCCTTCCTGCGCTTTTTATTCTAATGACTGAGATGTGTTGGCTGTGTTGAGGATTCGTTCACGGGCATTTCAAGCTTCACACCATATTCAACATAAGTTCTAAAAATCTAAAAGACCGTGTATTGTGATTCTTTTTTTTCTTTTCCATTCAGTTTATTGGTACATTTTAGGTATAAAATACAATTACATTCATCATTGGGATCTTGTACCATTACATGAGTATCTTAATTCTTATTTTTTCCCCTTCCTCTGCCCTCGCTTCACCCCCTCCACCCTTCCCTATTTGCAAAGACTTTGCTTCCATTTTTTTCCTTTTCTCGCATTTTTTCTTTTCCCTTCTTTCCCTTCCCCTACCCCTCCCACTTCCCCTGCTCCTTTAGACCTTTTCTTCCTGTTACACAATATCAATTATACATTTTTTTAAATTACAGCATCAAGATCTAGGAGACATTACCACAGATTTTATAGAATTTAAAAGGATATAGAAAGCATATTTCAAAAATCTTCAATTTGACAACTTCTAAGAAGTACCTTGGAAGACAAATTAATGAAACTGACTCTGGAGGAAATATAAAATTTGAATAGCACCTATTAAAGAAAGTATATTCCTAGCTTAAAAACCTACCTATATGATAACAACAGGCTCATATACATTTTAACTGATAAATTATATCAAACATTCAAAGCAGAATAAAGAAGGAACACTTCTCCCCTCATTTTAGGAAATCAACATTGTCCTAATCCTAAAACTGGATAAAGATAATAGGAGAAAAAAGTATGAACATAGATAGAAATTTGATTAACAAAACAAACTATTAGAAGTCA